GGGGGGGGGGGGGGGGGGGGGCGACTATCGTTGTGGGCTGTGCAGGCGTCACCTGAGGAGGAGCAGCTGTACACGTTTATTTGAATCGAAAGTCAGAGGAGCGGCTGTCGTCATGGTCATCTTCGGTCGGAGGAAGAGCTCACAAGCTGTGCAAATGTGGGATCGGAGGGGCGGCTGTCATTGTGGTCTTCTACAACTGTGATTGTCATCAGAGGAGCAGTAGTCATAGCGACTCATGGCGCCGGAAATCGCGACTCTTTGTCTTCCCCACCTTGGCACGACATTAGAAGTCGCGACTCTTCGTCTTTTCAAAAGTCATGACTTTGAAGGGAGGCAGCGATGACGGCACCAAGACGACAACTTTGGAAGTCGCGACTCTCTCTCTCAATTCGTAATGCAAATTCTGACATGTCAATTATATATCTTCTAAGATTTGGTTCAACCTATCGATTTGCTCATCTGTTTGTGAATAAAAAGTTAAACTGTATTACCATTGCCCTCAATAAGCTCTTCCAGAAGTGGGAGGTGAACCAACCATCTATGTTTGACATAACGGAGTTTGGATAAACATTTGGGACAAGAGCAAGCTTCGAGAGTGCTTAAATCATGAGTATTGAGTCTTAGGTTTAACTTTCAGGTTTCTTCCAAATTCGTAAGATATAGACACCATTTGATTCCCAATCAATTTCTACCCCTTCTAAATTTGAAATTTGAATTTGAAATAACTTCGATGAGGGAGTCGAGGGTCGGGAGTGGCTGTGACCTACTACCCCATGCTCATATGCCATAGGCAACTGAGAAAAAAAATGTATTTTGTGCGACTCATCAGCACATGTCTTGTTTATGGCCATCTCACCCTAGGAAAAGAAAAATAACAAAACAACTGACCTATTCAAGTCCAATGATGGTTAAGCTCAAGTAATGATTTGACCCAAAATCCAAATTAGTCTAAGCTTGTCAAAATAAATTGGGTTAGATTCAAGAAAAATACAGTAATTGGGCCCAAGGTCTAAATTTGCTCAAGCCCATTTTTAAAAAAGTTGGACAAAAAGGGAGGTCCAAACCATGAAAACTTCCAATAGAGGTCAAAGGACCTTTAACGAGCACGAACCTAAAGGACCTTCAATGAGCCGAAAGACGAAGACCTTCAACAAGCTCTAAGCGGAAGATGTTCTATAAATTACAAGTCTAAGATATTCAAAGTTAAAAGTTCAACCTTAAAGACAAGTGTTCCAATCCTCACTAAGAATCAAAGAGTCATATGTGGGAGATTGTACTCCACACATACAAAATTTAAATAATTTATTTTAAATAATGTTTTTGAAAGTTATAATATTAATAAAAAAAAAATCTAATTTAATTTAAATTTAACTTAAATACAGAGTCAAAGCCATTGAAAAGGAGGGCAATAAAGTAATTTGCATTAGTGCCCAAGAAGCCTGAAAACTGAGTGAGGGGAAGGGCGTGGGCATTTGCATCTTGTGCAAGGAAAAAGGAATCAGAGCAGTCTGCAATGGCGAATAAGCCTTTGGGATCGACCGGAGAGTTCTTCAGGAGGAGAGACGAGTGGAGGAAGCATCCGAGTCTCACCAATCAGTTCCGACACGCCACTCCTGGCCTCGGCATCGCCCTCGTCGCTTTCGGCATCTACCTTGTCGGCGAGCAAGTCTACAACAGGATCTATTCTCCCTCTTCTTCTCACCACCACCATGCCGATGCATCCTCCGCCACCCATTAACTGCTACGGGTGATTTCCCTAACTCTTCCCTTCGGTTTTTATTCTAATACTTTCTTCCCCGCGCCGTCGGAAGGGATTTTGTCGTGTTTGAATCATGCATATCAATTTCCCCTTATTTGTATGTTTTAGTTGAAAATTTTATCAGATTTTCATCTGAAGAGAACGAAGGTTCTCTTTTCCTTCATATTTCTAGGTCAAGTTTGCCCATTATGTCGTGATGCTGTAGAAATTTGCGCCTCTTCCTAAATTGGATGTGTGATTAATTTTAAAAAAAAAAAGTTTTGTGTTGAGCATTTATCTTCTATACAATCTTTCGATGCTTTATATCCGTCTTTCATATTTACTTCTAAATTAATGGAGAAACCCAAATAATTTCCTGCTGCGAACGATATTGAATTTGTTGGAAGTTTAACCTGATTAACTTTCGTATTTATATTGTTGTTTGCTGGATGGATGTCATTTTAATTTTAGTACCATATATGTGATATATAAATTAAGCCATGCGATAAGTACTTCTAGTCTGTCTCTGACTCCTTAGGGACCGTTATTGCAAGAAATCTAATTTAGAGCAAGTGTTGATTACTAGCGGGGCCTTTGAGGACTATACGCTAAGAAAAGAGGACGGGTGGTTTTTAAGATTGTATTTGAAAAAGCACGTGACCATGTGGAGTACAACTTCTTGGATAAATTCATTGAGAAGAGGGGATTTGGGTTTAATTGGAGAACCTAGATATTGAATTGTATTAGGTTAGTAAATTTCCCATCTTTTCGTGGAAAATGTGGCAAGATCTTCGTTTCTAGGGCTCTTAAGTAAGAGGATCCTGTATCACGCTTTCTCTTAATTTGAGTGGTAGATGTTCTAGCATGTTAGTGTGTCATTATAAATGGAGAACGAGGTTGTGAAGGAGTTTAAGGTGGGAAATGAGTTAATTCATCTCAGTTTTATAGACATTCACCTTTTGTTCAGGGCAGGAAAGATTATTTGTTAATCTTATTGGTCTTTTGTCTTCCCTTGAAGTTTTTTCTAACCTTGGGTGGGAAAAAGCTCCATCACAGGCTTAAATTATTGTCTCTACGTTGCGTTCTTAGGCTTTTTGGTCAGATGTGGGGTGAGTCCCTTCCTTTCCCTTTATCTAGGACTTAATTTGGGGAATAATTCGAAGAGTCAAGACTTTTTTCAATCCTCTTATGGAAAAAAGAAACTCAAAAACAGTTGTCTACGTGGAAAAAAGGCTTTGTTCTCTAAAGGTAGGAGATTCACTCTTATCTGGTTGTTGTGTGGGATTCCCGATTATTTTTGGTTTTTTTTTTTATTTTTTTTTATTATTATTATTATTTTAGTTTAGACTTCTGGTCTCAGTGAATTAGAATATTGAGAGAGTGATGAGTAATTTCTTGTGAGAAAGGGTCAATGAGAGGTGAGGAACTCATTTGGTTAAGTGGGAGGTGGTGGTGAAGGTGCTGGAGCTAGGAGGATTAGAGGGATTGAGAGCTTGCGATTACGTAAGAAGACTTCTCTGTTAAAATGATTGTGGCCCTTCTTCATGGATCTTAATGCTTCGTGGTACAAAGCTATTGTGAGTAGATATGGTCCATACACAGTTCTAAATGGGTTTCAAGTGGTGGTTCCAAGGGCACTAGTCTATGAATTGTTCCGTTTGGTAAGGCTTGAAGTTTATTTTTTTGGAGGATTGTTGGGTAGGTGATATTCCTCTTTCTTCATTGTTTCTTTATGTGGTTATACCATCCCTCAAACAAGAGATTGCATCCACTGGCCTCGATGTTGCCTTTCTCAAAATCTCTAATATTCGACTTCCAGTCTTTTGTCGCCCTTTTTTCATAGAGAGGCAGCACAAATGGCGTTCTTCCATCCCTCCTTTGTGACCAACACCCTTTTCCTTGGGTATGCAGAGTCTTGCAATAAGTTCAATTCTTGGGGATTCCCTTCCTTTTTTTTCCACATTTTGTCTACCCATTCTTTCCCTTAGATACCTATGCTTTCTCCTCTCTTTGGAAGGTTAAAATCTCAATGAAAATCAAATTTTTTGTATGGCAGGTGTTACATGGGAGACTCAATAACATGGATTGTGTTCAAAGGTATTCTTCTTTTATGTTGTACTTGCTATGGTGGATTCTTTGTAGCAGACAGGAGGAGGACCTTGACGATATGTTATGGGTATGCTAGTTTGTGCAATCCCTTTGGTGTGAGTGACGAGCTTGTTTGTTAATGTTTGGGCTGGACTAAAGATGGTTACTTTATGGTGGAGGTGGTGCTTCTGAGTTCTTCATCTCGAGAGAAGGGCAAAATTTTTGTGGCATGCTAGTTTCTTTGTCGTTTTGTGGGGCGTTTGGCTGGAGAGGAATAATATGATCTTTAGAGAAGTGGAAAAATTGTGCAAGGAAGTTTGAGGCTGTTAGGTTTAATGCTCCTAGTGAACATAGGTTACATAACCTTTTTGTATTGATGGGATATGTTTTATTGGGTTGGATCGGTGTCTTTTTACGCAGTTGAATTTCGGATTCCCTTTTTGCTTGTTTGTTTTTTGGTATGTCCTAGTCTATTCCCACTTCTTACCATAAGAGCTTGGTTTCTTAAAAAAAGAAGGTTTGTCATATCCACCGGATAACATTTTTCATTTAATTTTTGGTTGGATGTTGTCAATTGGTTAGATTTCTATGATAATGTAATACTTTTTCCTGATGCGTTAGTGTTATATTCGTAACATGCTTCTTTCACCATCTCTTCACTCTTTATATGTTTGCAAATATTGTAATATGTGTAACTTATGTGACTGGCAACTAATTTTGCAGATGCATTCGTGGTAGCTGAATCTAAGCTTGGAGTTGCATAACACCCATTACCTTTCACCTTTCTATGTGCAATAAAAGTAAAACTTTTGCTGGACAAAGCGCTTGAAGCTTGTGAATGTACTTGATGAGGTTGGGATTGAAATTTCCATCAGAACTGAAATGTTTAATTTTATAATCTAGTGGTTCTATCCATTCATTTTTCTCATCACTACTGATAATATTTCTATCTATTTCATTTTACTTATGATGAAACATAGTTGGAAATTAGAGGGGGTTATAGTTATTTAAGTTGGTTTTCACTTTCTTAGCCTCTAGGAAGGTCATTGGTGCTCTACAATAATGTCATTTGCTTCAATCATTAAGGTTTTCCCATCTGTTTAAACACTTTGAACTCCCTCGGGAATAAAATGTTGCTTATTAGGAAACATAATGATCTAAAAACTAGAATAACGAATAGTTAACCAAACATAGCTTAACTAGTTTAGTCATATGCTCCTGATTAATAGTTCAGATTCTCCGTCTACCGCATGTCATTTCTGAACCTACTCCCCTTGATCTTTTAGGCTTAGACATGTTAGGGTTAGTGTGTAGCAAACTAAGAATTTTAAGTGTGTGCTAGATATCGAAAATAGTGTTGGTAGAGGGATAAATAGTAGGTTGATTGTGTCCTGGTTGTTTGTAAGTTTCTCTTAAATTTCTTTTTATTTAAGCCTTCTTTACAAAGCAAATTATAAGTCCATACTTAAATGTTACATTCCTCGAGTAGTTTTACTCGGCTCAATCATATGTTTTACTTGTATCATTAGGGCTTGTCTGTTTCTAAGGGACCTTGTATGAAAGTATATTGAAGTAGAGAAATCATTGTATCTATCGTAGAGAATTCATTGTATTTAACATACTTTTCAATTTGTTCGCAAGGTTTTTGGAAATGGTTTGGTGAAGGAAATGAAATTGTTAAGGGAAAATATTTCATTTGCTTAGGTTCTTTCTATTTTGGTATAGGAGTTTGCATGCTTGAGTGAATAGAAAACAACCAAGTATTATCTATTGCTCCCTCAAATAACTCTCTACATTTTATCTTAGGTCATAGATGGGAGACTCTTCCATATTTACATACTAGATAGATCATTGCCAATTAAGATGAGTTCATGATTAGAGGTTGTGTCATAACCGTTCCACCGCACTACAAGTCAATAAATGACATCTATGTGACACCAATCATGGCTCATAAAACCCGACATAGTAAGTCATATGGCTAAATAATCTAACATCGGCAAAGAATCCTTGTTCATAAATGGGCATGGGCATACATGTAGGCCTAACATGCTTTCAAATAGTAAATGTTGGGATATGCTAGGTGTAGTCTCATAAGCTCATCAATCAAATCAAAGTTGAATCGACAATTTTGGAAGCTCCTAATTCAAATAATTAGTACAAAATCGTTCTAGATTTCCATTCACTTCAAGTACTCAATTTCAAACAATTTCAAGCAATTTTGGAAGCTTCATTTTCTGCCCTTTAATCTAACCAAAATTCCTCAATTTTTCCTATAACCGGTCCATACCAACATCTGGCAGGTAAACAGCTCCAAAAATTGTGGAGGAACATGATCAGTCAAACCAAAAATCCTCAATTGTATGTCATAGTTTGTGTGTAGATGTTGTCTAAGATGTTACCACTCAAGGCTGCAATTATGATTGGGATATCTCCCTATTGATTTCTTGGCTGGCATTGGTAGGTTATTTGAAAGTTCTTCATTTTCGTATGGTTACAAGGAAGAAGCCAGAGCTATTGCGACATTTTCTATATAAAAAAAAATAGAGAAGAGATTATCAGCAACATTAGTTGAGCAAAATGATTAGAGCTTGTTCGAGGCCGAAACTCGGGCAGTAAAAATAATGGCAAAATTCAATTTTTACAAATTAATCTAGGTCAAACAACAATCTCAATAATCTTAAAGAACGTCATCGTCTTAGTTACATTCGAGTTAGAATTTTTTTCACTCAGCGTTAAAGAAATAAAGAATGGAAGAAGGGGTAACATTCTTTTTACAAAGCTAAATTGTTGATACATGATAAGAAGAGAGAAGTTTGAGAATATATGCTTTGGCAGAAGGAAAGGTAGTGTCTTTTGCTTTAGAAATGAGTAATAATGGCCCATTTGCATGCCTTTGAATCTCAAACCTAATGGAGAGTTAGATTAGGGCTAATTGGATGCACTCACGTGGCCTATACCTCTTCTTATTCAAATCCTGACAACACAATAAAGCCCACCAGAATGTTCCTCAATATTCATTCATTCCTCTCTTTCTTTTTGCTTTTCTTTTCATTTGCTTTCACAAATCCAATGGAATTATGCTTACCCCTTTCCCCTTTTCATTTCATTACTTTTATATTCTTTCTTTTACTCCACTTTCAATGCATGCTATGGACACATACGTATTCTACTCACCTTTCTACTGATCAAAGATTCCATGTCGTACTCCTACGTTGACCAGATTATTTGGAGAGCTTATGCTCAAAGTGAATAACATCATACTAGTGTGGAGGGTCGTTGTCTCTGTCTTTAGAATCAGATCCATGCACTTGTCTTCATACGCTCAAAATAGACAATATAATACCCGTGTAGAGGAAAAATTTATAATATTTGTGTGGGGGAGTGATGTGTATAAGAAGGCATAAAAAGGGGGGAAAGTGGGGTTTGAAGACATGAAATGAAGAAGAAAATAAGTAGAAAATGAGTTGTGTGAATAATCTCTGGTCCTTCCCACCAAACTTTACCTGTGGGAAACACAAAAATTAATTATTCCATGTCTCAACATTTCAAACTCAAGGAACCAAATGCCCACAAAAAAAGATGAAAACATCTTAAACATAAAAGACAAAAGGTAAAAGACAAAGTGTGTATGCTGCAGATTGAGTATGGAATTAGCAACAATCATCTCTCTCTCTCTCTCTCTCTCTCTCTCTCGATATATATATATATATATATATATACATTTGTGTCTAATTATGGTGTGGTGGTCACTCTTGAACTAAGAACCAAACCACTTCATCAATTCTATCACCAATTGTACTAACCATGTTGCTCTTCAGTGTTTCTCAAGCAAATCAAATCATATCGCTATTTCAAGTAAGAAATTATACATACACATGAGAGGAAAGGGAATTAAAGATATTAGTAGGATTTGTTTGAAGATTGTTTCGAGAACGTCCCATGTCGAGGATTCGAATTTGACTTTAACATTCTTTTGTTGCATGGTCATGTTACATATTTATCTTTTACTGCACCTAATAGTGAAGACTATTTTCACAAGCTAAGACGAGTCGTTTTAGGATATTTTGTCTTAGCTCATATGAGTCCTAGAAAAAATTTCTAGGGGTCGCCCAATATAGAATTACTCTAAACAAAACATACTTAACTTTGACGCTTCTATGATTGAGCCATTAAAAAGGAAAATGTATATTGTTAGTCTACGTAACAACTTTCAATTCTCTTAATGTGAGATCCCACATCAGTTGGAGAGGGAAATGAAAGATTCCTTATAAGAGTGTGCAAATCTCTTTCTAATAATCATGTTTTAACATCGCGAGGCTAACAACGATATGTAACACACTAAATCAGACAATATTTACTAGCGATGGGCTTGAGTTGTTACAAATGGTATCAAAGCTAGATACTGGGCAGTGTGTCAGCGAAGACGTAGACCCCTTAGGAGGTAGATTATGAGATCCGACATCGATTGGAGAGAATAACGAAGTATTCCTTATAAGGGTACGAAAACCTCTCCATAATAGACAAGTTTTAAAACCTTGAAATCGACGACGATACGTAACGGACGAAAGAGAACAATATCTACTAGTAGTAGGCTCAAACGGTTACCTTTAAACTTTTCTTACTATCATATCCTAAGGACTTTGGTGGGTGAGTTGTATTAGTAAATGGAGAAAGAAGATTATATTACTAGAAATGGAAAATAATAATGAATGATAGGAAGAATTTGGTGATAGAAATAGATTATTTTGGGAAAGTTGGTATCTTTAAAAGCTAAATGTGGATGTGAGAAAGACACACCACCTTGATTATTATCAAAGATAAGAATAAGATTCCGTAGACCGACCAAACATTGTAATATATAATAATCTTACTTTGAATCTAATTTATAATAATCTTTTCATATATATATATATATATAAGAATATTTACTCATAAAGTTGGTTCCAATAATATATTCCTTTAGGTTTACCCAAATTATGAGTCCACTTATTAGAAGAATCACCTTTTCTTTCTCCTCTTTACTTCCTATCCCTTTCGTGATTAACTCGATAAATCTTAATCATATATATCCACATGTTTGCTTCTTCTAACCTTATTTTATGTCATGTTTTTTCGTACGAATAAAACCTAAGTGTTACGATTTACTTTTTGAGATTTTTATTTACGGATTGTCTACCAGTAAGCTATAGTCAATTCTTGCTATGACTATGTATGCGTATCTGGGGCACCGATTTTTCAAGATTAGTAACTAGGTTGTGTATCTCTAGGCATGCTTCAGTAGGGTAATGTGCCATCTAGATCGAATTGGGATCTTTACTGAGTTGTTCATCCTCTTCTCGTAGTCTCTCGAGTATTGACCCTATTTGGGCACTTATTGTCTCATGATGTCTTATACTTGGCTTTTTTGGAGCATGTTTACATTCATCTAGATTATCTACGAGGTCTTATGATAATTTAGGTTAGCCATAATGAATTAATATTGCTCGTGTCACACACCCAAATGTCATATAGTTGTGACATGCAATCTCTTACTATTTAAAAATTACTGAGTTGTTGTTCAACTAAAAAAGATTAGTTAGTGATGCCCTAAAGGGCTTCATAATGTTATCATAATCTTCGAGGGAGCAACCCTCATGCCTTCCATGCTACTATATTTATGTGGACCCTTATTCTTGTGGGAAAGTTCACGACCAACAAATAGTTGGAGATCTTTTGGTCGTCCCCATGAGTTCTATTGTGACACATGTTATGCTCAAGGCGTGATCCTAGCTAATCCGACTCCTGATAATCTAATACGAATGATTGTGGACCCTACTATTGTGACAGGTTCACTAATTGGAGCTACTGACTCGACTACTAATCTCCACAATGTCATTGCAGGAGGCAACCTCGTAACTGATATTACTATACCGATCATAAATCATGAGACAAGGTTTCACATATGGCAAAACCTTAGTCCTCTACTATTTTAAGTCTCTAAGCTTTAACGTGGTAACTAGCCCTTAAGCTAGGGGTTATGGGCTAACTATAAGATCCTTTAGGTCCGTACTGAACTTGTCAGTTCCCTACTGGTTGAGTTCCACTTGGAATTTGAAGGAACAGTCTCAGACAAACTCTCTTAATAATAGATCTTGAAACTACGAACGAAACTGAATCTTACAGCCTAGCATGCATCTAAGTACCTATCTCGATTTATTGAGCTTTGAATTTTAGAGAAGTCGGTTTGTCCTAACCAACTAAACTTAGAAGGTCGGAGAAGACATAGTACTTACATACTTAGCCTAAGTACATTTGATAATCTGGCTAAGTTTCATCATACACACCAAAACTTAACGGTAAGTCACAAAATTTTAAATATAACCTAAATGTCATCGCTCAAAATTCTCCGGTTAATTCATGCATATTTCTAGGCATTAACTTAATTGTATCTTAATTATTCTAGTCCAAGTCAATCTTAAAGATAAACTTGCATGAGAATTAATGCAGGCTACTTACCGTGTTCGAGGAATTCAGAGGCTTGGTTTTCTTCTTGAACTTTGAATTCTCCTTGAAAATCAAATTACAGATCGAATACTTTTTTGCTAATATCTTATCTTCAAATAAATTATAATCGAATTATTAATTTATTTATATAAATAATAGTTATTATATTAACTCTAGTTCATCATTTACATAATATATAAATTTGAAACTAAAAAATATATATAATATATATACGGACAAAGAGTGCCTCCAATAGAATTTAAACCTATACAAAAGGTTCAGAAGAGCTCTATTTTATCCATAGGAGGGTCAATAGAAGACTTCTCGTTGACCCAGTCAAACATTGACGGCACATAACATTTTCTATCTTGGAAATCTAGTGAGAAATTTTGGAGATCCTTAGTTTGTTCCGACCACATGCTCCAATCAAGTCATTAGTGCTAATTCATACTTATTAATACCCACACCTCCATTTTCAGCTATCTCGACACGTATAGTTTGAATGCTATCACAAGACACCTTTAAAGAGGTAGATCACATCCCACCATATTACCAAGTCTAAAGTTCTTAATGTTTATGCATGAACTACTCAATCTGCATCTTCACCCAATTGTACATCTCTATCAATTGTGCCACCACCTCAACAGTCACGACATCGTTTCCACCACCAATCGTCTTCAAATATTCATTGATCGTTCTCCCCATCTCCCATATCTCTCTTGCACCTCACGTCAACAATCTCTTCCACCCTCAACTCCAGTACCAACTCATAGATCAGTGTCAGTAATTGTATTCATCTCTTAATCTCGTCTTTTCGATGATATTCGACTTACCTTCTTCACTCTCAATTTCGTTCTACGAGTACCATTTGGTTTTGGAATAAGAAAAAATGAACATTAATTAAGAATGATGAGATTATTAGAGATAGAACACATGAAAGTACACTAAGAGTTTAAGAAGGGTAAGTGAATAGGAGAAGGTTTTGTTTTATCCAAAAGGAAAAGAAAAGGGTTAAAGAAGAGAGAGAGGTCTGAAACACATCTTGGAATGTGTGAAGGGGTCTGATACATTACATGAAATGTCATCCATACCATTTATTCCTGTGGCCCATACACTCTCTCTTAATCAAGAACCATACACCATTTCTCTCTTTCTTCTCTCTACAACCAAACTCACAACACCAACATTTAATCATCTTTATGCTTATGGACTCATCAAAAAACAACAAAATAAAAGTAGAAGACATTAAGAAAAAACAAATTTTGCAAAGAATAAAGACATAAAAACAAACCCTTTAAAATGGCCCCATCTTAAACACGGAAGCTCGAATATATAAAAGCTAACCCATCGATAATAAAAGAATAAAGCTATTTCATCACTAAAAGGTCTCGTACCAATAGAGATAGCATTCGTTATTTAGAGCACAAAGTCTCCTTTCATGTGATGTTATGGTAAAATGTCAATAAACCCACCTCATCGGTTAACTTTTAACCTAGGTCGAGGGAAGAGCGGTAACTCGGGTCGAGTTTAGAATTTTAATTTTGAAATTCAAACAAAAGGGCATTAAATGAGTTGCAGTGGTGGAAGACATGTATGTCTGAGTTTTCCTTCAAAGTAACATTTACAATAAACACACAACATCTTGTTTCTCTGACAAACGTTGGCCTCTCCGAGTAGCGTAAACTTGATGTCTGGTTTTGCAAGCCAAGCAAGACCTAACCAATAACCATAACCCACTTTTTGTCTCTCTTTTTTTTTCTTTTTTCTTTTTTTTCTTCTTTTAAAAAAAAAAACATAAAAAAAAAAAAAAAAAAAAAA